AAGGGAGAAAGAAAGAGAGAGAGAAGGGCAGCAAACGCGTACCTACACTTTATTTCGCACGGCCAGAGACACGTGCACGACAGCTAAAAGCGACGTCAGGACGTTTACACGAGACGACGGGGGATGATGATGGTTTACGAGCGAACCACCGTGTCTCCGTTTATTGTTCCGAAACCTCGCGTTGAGATCTTCCGATTATCCCTAATGATGATTCTATAAGAATGACATAGAGAAAAATTCTAAGTAGACATATATACGATCATTTGAAATAAAATTTGTTAGAATGTTAAAAGAAATCTTTACTTGCAGAGATAATACCGCGAGATATCAAAATAAATATATATAAATACTATTGATATATTATATACATATAATATAATAATATTTATCTAACACGACTGCCTTAGTTCGGCAATATTTATTTTAACTCGTCAAATCTGTAAAGCTAGATATTCAGACAAGAGAGAAAGACTTTTTATTATCGTTCACGCGAGCCCGATGGTCACGTTTTAAAGTCGGCTAGGTATATTCGGTGGGTCAACCATTCTATTTTTGGCAGTGTGCCGTCCGACATTAATCCTTAGAGACCGCAGACATAAAGGGTTAGGCTAGGCGAAAGGATATGTGGAAGGGTGGGAGAAGAGTAGGTAGGAGTAGTAGTAAGAGAAGAGAAAAGTCCGCTTTTCTCCATTTGAGTTCCTCTCACCGCGACGAAAATACCCCTTTTGTTTCTTCTAATGCCCACCCACCCCTCCTCATCCCTTTAACCCTCTTCATCTCTCTTTCACTCTTTCTCTCTTTCTCTCTTTCAATCTATCGTTCTCACTCACACTCTCCTAACACTCTCTTCGTTTTTCCAGCCGGTTGTCTGCTCTTTTCGTCTTTTCTCTCTCAACTCGTCGATTCCATTCTCTTTCTCTTTTCACCCTCAACCAATCGTCCCGTCTTCCTCCTATCTCTTTTCTTCACCTCTTTCAACGACAGTACCATCACTACCACTACTACTACCACTACCACCGTCATCACTACTACAACCTCAACGACTCACCTCCTCTCTTCCCAGGATAATGAAAGGACTCTCGAAACGAAGTCCATTGACGACGCAGTCGAGCCAGCTCGTTTAATCTGCTCGGAGAACAGTGGAATCCGCTCGTATATCACGCGGAAATAAAGAGTTTACCGTCCGTCGCTAAAAGCATTACGCTGTGATGTGCCACGGAGATCCGTGAAATCGTTACCACGACTAAATGAACCGCACCGGCGATCGTCATTATGCGTTTACCACATCTAAAAACCATTTGCGGTAATCCCTTTTCTCTATGTTGGACATATGTATAGCAAAATTGGTGATTGTAGGATCTGTTTGGCTGTTAAACAATATTAGCAAAAACTAGACAAATTTATTATTAAAATTCAATTATCCTTTCAATATTCTTTATCGTTGTGATTAGGTATATATAACATATATGTAGGGAATTTTATTTAGGGTGAGAGGTGCGAGGTGAACATACACTCAGTTTAATCYTACTAATAAGATTTATTTAAAACAGGTATTAGAAAAAGTACAATATTAGTTTCACAATCTTACGGTTACAACTTAGATGAGCGACTGTATTCTTACAACTGATAACGACTTATAATACAACTGCGACTGTTACGACTGATGACTAACTACGGCTACAGCTGTGACTGCTACTACTACAACTACTGCTACGATTACTGCTCTGACTACTGCCCTGACTACTGCTAACTTCTTATTTCTTTCCACGTATTTTATATCAAAAATGACCTACACCCCTTTTGAGAGGGAAGGAGCTTACGAATCTTATTGACCAATAGCATAAGGATCCACCCCATAGTCCATCGACGGGTACAGCCTATGGTTTTTGGTAGTGGGAACTATGCATAAAGAGACTTGATCAAGAACATCGAAATGTTATCGCATATATTTACATAGGAATCCGAAATTCTTCAAAGGGTCCCGATACTGCAAACCCGACACTTTCCAAAAAAATAAGATATAAAGAAAAGGACTGAATACTAGTTTTTCGCTTACATCTGCTACACTTAAAACTCTCCAACATATATGTATATAAGTGTATGTTATATGAAAATATAATGATTTAATTAAAACAATCAAAGCATGTTTCCGTTGCTTCTATAATAAGAACGGTTGTAATATTGAATAATAAAAGAATGGTTTTCATCATTGAAATGCGCGGGATGTAAATTCATAATTTCTCCGAGTAACAAAGGAAATGAGGACATTGTAGAATGTGTACCTAGTTCTGTGCTTCTTATATCTTCAAAAGGACGACTCGCTACAGGAAAATTTCTCTCACAGTGAAATATACGACTGACGAGGTTTCTTTGTAACATGTTGCTATCTAAGCGAGCATGTGCATATTACACGGTATAAACTGTTTTATCTAATTAATTGGATATTACTTTTTTCAACATTTTTCTTTTTTTGAAAAATTCATTTTATTTTATAAAGAACATGAAGAAACCTTGATAAATTTTCTTTTTTCCTCTTTCTCTCCATGTCTCTTATATTCAAACAAATAAACGTGGTCTTTGTTATACATTGATCGTTTGAAAAATATCTTTTTCGTCGGTAGAGAAATGAAAAAAAGGTAGCAATACTAATACGAAAACATCCAATCGGAAGTCTAGACAAGCGATTTTCCAATACTCCAAACGTTTCCCTGAGTGCCGATTATCGACATGAATCGCGAATCGGTCGAATTGAAATTCCAGGAAATACGCGAGAGCGATTTAGTGTTGCTGAGAGAGAAATAGAAAGAGAGAAAGAATGAGAGAAAGAAAGAATGGGGATGCTATACAGGGTTGGACCTTTAAAGTCGAAGATCGTTGCTTTCAGTGAGTATAGCCATATCTGGGATGCTCTGGCGATCGTGTGGAAACTGTAAGTCGTGGACGTGAGCCATCGAGGATACGTGATCCTAAGAAGTGGACGTTCGAGCAGCACGTTCGACTATCGGCAAGTAAAGCAGGCTTACCTCGTAGCTCTAGCCTCTTGAAGCACTTTTTAAGCTACTATCTACGATACAACATCGAACGTTCGTTTCTTCTTTGGTCTTCTCTAGGGATAGAACGCAACCAAGTCTCATTCTTCTTACAATATTCATCCTATTGGAGAACAAAAAAGATATATCGGACAACGAATATCTCATATGCCGTACGTTTTATCGATTATTCATTCATTAATCCATTTAATCCAAAATATTAATCAATATTGTAGAATTCAAATAAAACAAATTATTAATTAACGTAATAGTCCACTTATAAAATTTTTATGTACATCTAAGAACATTATAAAATTTCTAATCATTTCTATTGGATGAAAAAAAATTAAAAAAAAAATAAAAACAAAAAAGGAGACAAATAAGTATCTTAAGATATAACAACTTCTACCATCCCAGGAGTTTTTCAGTAGTGAGCTTGCAAGCGTGCTCGACCGAGAAAGAACACGAACAAGCGGACATCTCACCACCTACGCGTTTTACATATATTTCCGTTTTCGTTTTAATTTCATCGCTGTGGTACGTCCGCCAGAAAAAATGTTGACCGCGTTTGTCGTGCTAAAGACACACCGCACCGTCTTCTCTAAGCGCGAGCATTTTTGCATGTCTCTCTCTGCATTATGCATGCGATATAAGGACGACATTACTGTGCATCCATTTCGAGATCCACGCTTCTTTTTTCTCTTTCTTTATCTTTCTCTTTCTCTATCTTTCTCTTTCTATCTCACTCTCTTTTTATAATCCAAACTTACATATTCAAAATCTTCCATTTAATTTTTATCTATTTTCATATCCACCTTTTTTATTTTCTATTCGTTATTTACTTTTCTAGGATTTGTTTTTTCATTTCATATTCAGATATCAAATAAAGTATTGGAAGGATAAGGATTGTAGTGAAAATATTATTCAGTACAAAAGAAGATGTAAAACTATAGTAAAAAAAAAAAATAACATTCATATGAAGAAACGTGTTCAACGTAAAGATATCGACGTGTACAGTATCCTAAAATAAATATATGTTTATATACGTTCACGAAAATAAAATGACAACTATCGTGAACAATCCATCGAGGGACTTTCAAAAGTAAGGCTCACGCAAACTGTACTTTTTCATTTTAAATGTGAACCAGAGACTTGTACAAAGATTATCTCTTGTCAGATACTACTACACGCGAAACACACTGATCCATTCTCGATACCATCTGATACGACACTCTTATCTCAAATTTCCTGAAGACCACGATAATAATCCGTTGCATTTTTTTCACAGCCAGTTCTGATCTAAAAACTTTCAGGTCTATAGACTTTATAAAAGTATTCTAATCTGTCTCCGTCACTTTTTGCGGTTTCAATTTTAGTGTAATTATGATATACAGTAAAACAAAAAAGAAACTTATGGCAACTTTGGCTTCAATAAACCTAAATAAATGAAATGTTTAGGATATAACTATGAAAATAAAAATATAAATTTAAAAAGGGACTCATATTCAAAACTAGAAAGATTTAAATACAATATCTTTTATATTAATTTCTTGTTAATTCTATGATTATTCAATCGAAAAATGACTATATCGGCACGAACTTGACATCAACTTCAAGTTCATATTGATGTTATCACAAAAAAAAAGTTTTCATCATAATCCTCGTACTTTATTACATTACTATTTATGAAATAAATCATTCAAAAAAAGAAAAAAATGTTTTTTATGATGTGCAAAATCATAATGTTTGAACGTACGAGAAAGATTGAAAAATTCGGAGATAATCGGATCTAATCGGTGACAATCGGAGAAAATATAACGATTATTAGTGTTAACGTATAATCATGTAACTGTGTTATAAAGCATGAAGAGTTATCATGAAGATAGTTGCCACTTAGATTCTATAAAGGCAACTCGATTTCTTGCATTTCCTTTATTCGTTTTTCTTTTTCTGCACCTGCAAACAGAAAAAATGGACGAGACTACGACTGGTCCATCTACAGATAATTGGTGAGATTAAATTGAATCATTTCTAAATTTGAAAAAATTGCAAAATTATTTTCATTGTATTAAACAAAGCTTTACTATTTATTATTAGCGATACTTCAGCCACGAATTCTTTAAACAATGAAATTGAAATAACACAAATGTACCCAATGAAGGGTAAAACATATAGCTTAGCTCTCCTATTTAGTCACGAAACATTTTATAGAAAATACGAGAACGAGCGAGTTGGAGTCGAAGCTGATTGCAATAAATTAAAATCTGTACTTCAAACGTTCAACTTTGAGGTAAAGATTTATGAAAATCAAACAAAGCACAAAATATTAGGTATAATAAGTAAAGGTAATAATTTACTTACTTAATCCGTTGAGTCATTAATTTTATTTAGAAATATTTTTATTAGATCACTACATTTTTGTCATTTTTCACAATTTCGTATTTACACAATGCGTAAAATATCTAACTTAACTGTACATTTTATCGATAAAAATAATTATGAATCATTCTGAGATATCTCTATAAAATGTGGAAACAGAAAATGTGTACAAATTAAATGATAAATTGCTTCTCTATAATATATTGAATCTCATAAATGAAACCTCATTATTTATGCCGATAAATTACTCACTATTATTTTTAATTTATTTTTGTAGTCGCACAAACGGTTCAATCCGATATAGATTGTCTTCTAATTGTTGTAATGACCCATGGTCATTCAGGCATACTTTGTGCATACGACGAACCATATGATATCATCGATCTGTGGAGTCCATTTTCAGAAAATAATTGTCCTTCTCTCAAAGGAAAACCTAAACTATTCTTTATACAAGCATGCCGTGGCGATGATGTTGATGCTGGTACCGAGTTACAGTATGAGGAAAATACGCAATTTAAACAACAATTATCATCAGAGAACAGTTTACCGGATGTAAGTGTTTACAACTTAAGTCCAATGGAACTTCAAAAGCTTAATACACCGGATGAACGAGATTTCTTGATCGGATATGCAACTTGTCTAGGTGAGTACTATAATAACTATATATTATAATAATTATCATAACTATTAATAATCGTAAAAATTAAATTAAATATTTTATTATTTAGATTATATTGCGTATACAACTGAAAATGGATCATGGTTCATTCAAGAAATTTGTTCGATGTTTGAAAGATATGGAAAAAATTACGATCTTTTAACTTTACTAACTTTAGTCTCTCAACGTGTCGCACTAAATTATGAACTTAAAATTTTAGATGAATCAAAGTTAAATATTAATAAGCAAGTACCGTGTATTATAAGTACATTAACTAAGCTATTATATTTTTTTCCTAAACAAGCTGAAGAAGTACCAAAGAATTTTGAATTAGGACCAATATAATTATCTTTGGAAAATAATAAAACAAACTTGATGGCATTACATCTATTTAAACATATATTGGCTGATACGTTTATTCTCTATGATTTAAGACTAGGCAATATAAGCCAAAAATGAATTGCCCTTTAAATCAAGTAATAGTTTCAGAAAGAGAAAATAAAGAAAGAAGAAAAAAAGAAAACATCCTCATTGCTACCGCGAACTATGCAATAGTTAACTTTTTCGTAATATCGAAGCTTTACGAAATTCTTTTATTATGACAATAAACTGTAAATAAATAAATAAATATCTATCAATAGTTTGTATGATACATTATAAATACTTCTTATTTATATATACTATATGAAATGATATAGAGTGCATGTATTTCATAAAATATCTAGGTAAAAAATATATCAATAAATGTAAGCTAAAATAAATATTAGTAATAATAATATTGAATATTTAAGTATAAAACCTATTAATTTTCTATAAACTCACACATGTTTCATTAGAAAATGGCTATATCAGTTTATACGTAACATCGGCAATTGACAATCAGTTTTTTTATAAGCAATAATATTAATGTCATCAGCAAGGAATACGTGTCAATCACGATACTCATATTCTTTACCTTCTTGATTATGAAATAAATAAACCATGCTATTTTCAATATTTGTTAAGTTATTATTATTATTAATTGGCAGTAGGAACTCGAAAGTTTATTGCCGCAAATACCACATTCCGCTATTGTTCCCGTCCCTGAGCGCGATCCTTCCATTCACAGTCTTCGTAGCCTATTAATTTCAGATTCCTTCTAATATTGTCCTCTCATCTACGTCTCGGTCTACCTAGTGGTCATTTCCTACTCGGTATACCGACCAGTATTTTATTCCCCCATGCGAACCACATGACCTGCTATCTTAATCGGTGTGATTTTACGACGTTAATGATGTCCGGTTTGTTGTACAGTCTGTGTACTTCTACATTATGGAGTTTTCTCCATTCACCTGTTTCCTCATCGCGTTTTGCACCGATGATTTTACAAAGAACTTTGTTTTCGAAAACCCTAAATTTCCTATCGTCCCGTAACGTAAGTGACCACGTTTCGCTATCATAAAGGACTAGGATGATTGTCCTGTATATCCTGATTTTTAACCATTTGACCTACACGCTAACTTCACGATGGCGGTGCCTTGTGCTACGCTTTAAGCAGCGCTGCAGTGTCCCATTCTCACACTTCGCTTCACTTCGAAGCGCTTCGGTAAAACCAAGATTTTGACATGTTTAAAATCTTTTTATGCTTCGGGACCAAGTGCATATTGTTTTTAGACATCTAAAGTACACTTTAAGCTAAAAAAAAATCAATTTTTTGAAAATTTTAGAGTGGTGTTACCCCTCAAGCAGCGTCTCAGCGTGTTGGTAGGACGTATAGCATACATCGCTTTCAGTTTTAAGACAGAAACATCACGACGTAGAGTCTACGTCATAATAGGTCAAATGGTTAAGCGTTTAGACAACAACTGCGCGAGCTGAGTAATTTATTGACCGAATGAAAGCATGAATTGCCTAAATTCTTTTCTTAAGTTCTTCGTTAATTTCGTTCGTCTGATTTATGATCGATTCTAAATACCTAAAATTGCTGATCCGTTCAAAAATTTTATCCCGAACGACCAAAGCTACAATATTACGCACATTTTGAACTCTATCAGTGACCGTATATTTGGTTTTTTCCAGGCTTATTTGCAGCCCTAGTTCTTTTGTATTATCTATTAATATTTTCGCGTTATTAGTTAAAGATTCTTTATTGTCCCCTAACAAATCAATATCGTCCATGTATGTCAACAATATTTGTTAATTTAAGCGAGAAAAATTGTATTTTATGATTACTCGTAAGCAATAAAGTGCTTCTTAGAAAATTCAACAACATAACGCTTCAATGTACAAGGAAGACTAAGAAGTTCAGATATAATCTAATCTAATCGGTTGAAATCGGAGAAAATAGATAAGGCATTTCTAGAGATTAACAGCTTTAACGTAAAATTGTATAACTATATTATAAAGTATGGAGAATTATTATGAGCCTAGTTGCATCTTAGATTCTACGAAGGCAACTCGTTTTCTTCCATTTCCCTTATTATTAGACTTGCTCTTTCTGCGCCTGCAAACAGAAAAAATGGACGAGACTACGACTGGTCCATGTACAGATCATTGGTGAGATTAAATTGAATCATTTGTAGATTTGAAAAAATTGCAAAATTATTTTCATTGTATTAAACAAAGCTTTACTATTTATTATTAGCGATAATGCAGCTATGAAACCTTTAAACAATGAAATTGAAGTAACACAAATGTACCCAATGAGGGGTAAAAAACGTAACTTGGCTTTCATATTCTGTCACGAAAAATTTTATAGAAATAAAGAGAAAAAGCGAATTGGAGTTGTAGCAGATTGTAATAATTTAATTCCTCTGCTACAAACGTTCAACTTTGCAGTAAAAATTTATAAAGATCAAACAAGGGATAAAATATTAGATATATTAAGTAAAGGTAATAATTTACTTACTTAATCCGTTGAGTCTTTAATTTTATTTAGAAATATTTTTATTAGATCACTACATTTTTGTCATTTTTCACAATTTCGTATTTACACAATGCGTAAAATATCTAACTTAACTGTACATTTTATCGATAAAAATAATTATGAATCATTCTGAGATATCTCTATAAAATGTGGAAACAGAAAATGTGTACAAATTAAATGATAAATTGCTTCTCTATAATATATTGAATCTCATAAATGAAACCTCATTATTTATGCCGATAAATTACTCACTATTATTTTTAATTTATTTTTGTAGTCGCACAAACGGTTCAATCCGATATAGATTGTCTTCTAATTGTTGTAATGACCCATGGTCATTCAGGCATACTTTGTGCATACGACGAACCATATGATATCATCGATCTGTGGAGTCCATTTTCAGAAAATAATTGTCCTTCTCTCAAAGGAAAACCTAAACTATTCTTTATACAAGCATGCCGTGGCGATGATGTTGATGCTGGTACCGAGTTACAGTATGAGGAAAATACGCAATTTAAACAACAATTATCATCAGAGAACAGTTTACCGGATGTAAGTGTTTACAAATTAAGTCCAATGGAACTTATCAAAATAAAGCTTGACATGCTTCGTACACCTGATGAACGAGATTTCTTGATCGGATATTCAACGGCACCAGGTGAATATTAATAGCTTTTATATTATAATTATAATATTATCCGAATTTTTTTATAATCTTTATCAATAAATCGAATATTTTATAATTTAGATAACATTTCGTTTAAAAATAAATATGGATCATGGTTCATTCAAGAAATTTGTTCGATATTTGAAAGATATGGAAAAAATTACGATCTATTAACTTTACTTACTTTCGTCTCTCTAAGTGTTGCATTAAACTATGTGTCTCGTAACGAAAAGGAACCAAAATATCATGATAAAAAGCAAGTACCGTGTATTATAAATACATTAACTAAGCGATTTTATTTTTTTCCTGAACAAGCTGTAGAAGTACCTAAGGATTTTAAATTAGAACTGAATTAACTATCCTTGGAAAATAATTATACACATTTGAGGGTATTACATTTATTTTAAAATTAATTGATCAATACCTTTAAGCGCAAATGATTTGAAACTAAACAATAAAAGCTATAAATGAATTATTTATATAATTCAAGAAATTCCAAAAAGAGAAAGAAAAACATCCTCGTCGTTACTACAATCTACCCAATAGTTGACTATTTCATAATAGCGGAATCTTAAATTTTAAACGAACGTATGAGAATGAATTTTTTTTCGTTTAATTTAAAGGACTATTCTTATTACCGTCTTTCGGTTCTGTTGATTATTTCAATTATACTTTAATCTTATTATTTTACGATGTAACAATAAACTGAAACATATGAAAACATATTAATTAAAACTATTTGCTTGTTAGATATGTTCGAGCCTATTCATTTGATTATATCAAATATATTTATAATATTTTATATAGATTGTATATAGAATAATTATATGTTCATGAACAAAAAATATAATATGAAATGGAATAATTGATATTTCATAATTCTTCAATTATAATTGTATCTTTTGATTTTTTATTCCTACATAACTAATAATTATACTATTATATATTGAAATTTTTAAAAATTGATCTAACTAGCTTTCTTTACTATCAATTGCGATAATATTCGCTTGAATGGATTCAAATAGGATATCCTATAGATATGTTCGTTATACCTAAAACGGAAATATATTCTACATTTTCACGTTCCCGAAAATAGTTGAGTATTTGTGTTTTAGTACGGGCGGTCAGCGGATCTGTTTAATCGGTAGGTTTGAAGATTTATAGCATGGTACACACCGTTACGTTTCACCGTTCAAAATCATTTTTCGATTGATTATCGTTGTCCGTTCATTTTTTTTTTCTTTCTTTATTTTTTATTTTCTGTTTTATCTTTCTATTTTTTTTTGTCTTTTTTGATTTCCATTTTTTTCTTTTCTTTTTGCTCGACCCATTCTTTTGCATGGCTATCACGGGAAAAATGTTTCCATTCGCATTTCTATTTTTATATATGCGACCTATTGATTGTATCCATCTGATAGTACACTTTACGTAAATGTATGCATACATACATACACATATACTATACATATAATGCAGCCTCCGGCATACGGTCAGGTGAAAGAACTACGCTTTCCGGACCCCAGTGAAAAAACTTCACATTTTCGCATCTTCAAAGAGATCGGTCTGCTTTTACACTTGTTTCTATGCATTAAATATAATCACCAATATACTTCATTTTAATATTAAAATATTTATGATAAAATATCAAAGTGATCAAAATAATTTATTTGAAATTAAAAAGTATCTTTACATTATTTTTTTCGTCAAATTTAAATTAAGTCCATTCGTCCGTTTAATGATTAATCAACATTAAAATTTAGTATAATTAAACAAGCACTATTTTGTAAATTTTACAATAACTAGTCGACTATTTCAGATAGTTATTTTTGTCGGATATAGCAGATAGACTGTGTTCCAAAACTTTGTGAAATTCGTTTTCTATAAATGTTGTAACTATGGTTGCAAAAAGTTTTTACGAAAGCACAGAATACATATACGTTCATGAAATGTCATGTACAGAACTTCAAAGAAAATTGACAAATACCATTTTTATAAAAAGTTATAGGAAACAAACGCTTTCCGTGATGGCGATTACATAAAACACTCCTGAAGTTTGTTCATAGAAATATGAACTACTAGGGATACCCCGGCCACGCGTTGATGTGGCTTTTTTGACGTGAAAACTTCTTTAGAATTAGATTGATTTAAAAATCGTGAAACGGAAGAACGTAAAACCGACGAAACAAAAATTATTTATTAATTAATAAAATTCAATATATAATTTTTTATTCTACGTATTAATTAATAAATAAAAGTCTGTATATAAAAATTCAGTGTCACATTATGTTTTTCCACTAATAATTCTGAAACTGCTTATTTTATCTTAATGAAATTTATTTTATTGCACGCGTTTTTTTCCAACTTAGCACATAGCATAATTTTTATTGCGATTTTTTTTTATTATTTTTTATAACAAATTGAAATATTTTTATTTAGAGTTATCTAGATTCTATAAGGTTCTTTTAATAGATGGCGCTGTATTACAAACCGATTATTTAAATATGTTCATGTATCAAAGCTTGGTTTTCTTTGAAGGTTTCACTTCTACCTAGTTTTATAATACGTTCATTTAATATAATTTTTAAACTGTTCAATGAAGTCTAATTAGTATTCACTTAGAATTTCGGTGAGTTTAAATTAAGCACAAAAGAACATCAAATTTGTAATTTTACTTTTAAATCATATCATATTGAAGTATAATTATTTAAAAAGTTGTTTACTAAAAATAGATGAATATATAATAATATGGTAATAGGAAAAAATGGAAAAAGCAACACTATGTCGTATGTAAATTTGAAAAAAACTTGTAATGTAAAATCAATTAAAATGCAGCACCAACTATTGAATACTTACAAAACCTAGATATCTAAATAACGATAAAAAATAAAAAATAATCGCGCTATAAGCTATTCTTATAAAAAGTAAGTAACTTATTGTAAATGTGTGGGGATGTGATCTATGACTGAAAGAGGAATGGAGCGCTGTGAATAATGACGACCTATACAAATAACAAAACACCAAACATCCATTTCTTTAATTCATTGTACTTAATAACATCAATTAATCTATTTTATATTTAATATAGATATAATGATATATAGATATAATAGATATATAGATATAATAATATAGATTATATTTAATATATTATATTTTATATTTAATAAGGACACAGAAAAAAACATCAATCTGTTAGTTCAATGGAGTGTACGATATTTTTGGTTAGTCCATCTTTAGCTAACACAGACAAACTGGATAGCTTACCAACGCGAGAACATGCCACGTATAATTGTCCGTGTGAAAAACATGGTGTTCTCAAATCTAATCCACAAACAGACATTGTTTGACCTTGCGACTTATTGATTGTCATTGCGAATGCCAATTTAATTGGAAATTGAACGCGTTTGAATTCAGTCGGTACATCTGGACCATTGGTACATCAATTGGACCCTCTGCATTTTGATGGAAAAAACACCCATAAATAGATCAAATTAAAGTACTTAATGATGAAAAAAAGAATACTGATAATATATTTGTTCTTTTATTATTTTACCTGAGCAGATATATTAACTATAAAGACTTCTGGGGTTAGTGATAAGTTATGGTTTGATAAATATGCTAAAATTAATAAAGAAATTGAACATGTAATCAACAATACTGCTTTTATAATAAAACATCTTCTAAATGAAAGGTTTGCTTAATAAAAAACTCTAGTTGATATATTAAAAAATATGTCTTCTAAGTAAAAATTAGAAAATCTAATTAACTTACCTTGCTTTGATTTCGCTTGTATGCAAATGCAGCGACAAAGTCTTGTTAACACTTAATCTTATTGATTAACCTATTAAAGGTTTAAGATTAAGTGAGAAACGAAAAAAACACGATTATATTATTTAAAAAATTGTAGTCATAAATATTATCGCCTCGATAATAAAGATAATAAATATATAGATAGATCTGAATATACGCACATAAAATTTGTCTTCTTTTTCTCTTTTTCTTAATATCGTGGCTTTACACTAAATGGCGTTGTTATATGACAAACGGCATCGCTAATCGCGCATGCCCGGTAAAATGAGATCGCAACACACACACACACACACAAATTTTACCTTCCAAAGAAAAAATAATCAAGGTGGATCACCCTTATCACTCAGGGGTATAAAAAATATAAGATGTCCTAGTCTCATACCTGCCAAATGTACACAAAAAATTTCATAAAAATCGGTTAAGTAGTTTAGGAGCCCATTGCGGATACTTACTGGACACGTAATTTATATACATTAAGATGAATTTTAAGTTCAAAAATAAAATCCTTTAAATACGATAACAATTAATTGACTACTAAATTATAATAAATTATACAATTAATCATCTATTTGACTAAACTATAAATTCCTATGGAACGATTTGAAAAAATAATCGTCTATCTATTTATAAACACTCACCAATGATTTCTCGTTTTTATTTTATTTTATGTTAATAAAAAAAAAGTAAAAGTATTGTACGTTAGACTAATTTCTGATAGTACTTATGTTAGAACATATGATAAATAAAAGCAATCAAGTCGATTGTGATGGAAACACTTATGAAGTTATAACTTAATCAAAATTATTTTTTAAGCTACTTCGATTAGATATTTTTAAGTTCAATTTAATGAGAATTGTATGTTTCCTAGCTTAAGTTCTGAAAACTTTTGTTGAACATCGTGTATACGTAAAATTTATAACGTACCTTTTTACGATTGCCGGTATTGATAAACAATAAACGAAATAAACTAGATAAGACATTGAATGATAACTTATCGAGATAAGATAAATAATCCATTTCTAGACAATATGTCTCTGAAATATGTTGCTTATTACATTTCTTATTTCTAATATTGTATCAAATGAAATTAAAGATTTATGATTAACGCAATGCATTATCAGACAATTAAGAAAAATGTTTATATACACTTTATATACACTTTTATTTTTACCAATACTTAGAAACAATGTATACAATACATTATCAAGCAACAGTTTCGATAAACGTTCTAGTACATAAATGAAATATCTTAAAAATTATTGGGAGTTATGATTCTTAAATTTTTTATTCTGCATATTTATAAAAAATAATTAGAGAAACTTATCGTGATAGAAAAATTTGATAAAGTATTATTAGATATGGTAAAAAATTTCTATCGTCAAAGTAACCACCTTTTTTCTGTACAACTATTTTACGCAATGTTGGCACTCGTCAAACGAATTTTTTCAATATTCTCGTTTACAAACTTTCCAACTATTTTTTAAAATGTCCTACAAGTATTCTTAAAATATTGTAATGTGATGTTATAAACAGTACTGGATAGTGCGAAAATTTATTACTTATAATTCATGAGATTTGATGAATTTTAATAATAGTAAAGTCATATTATATATCATCTTTGCATTTGCAAGAATAAAGGAATGTTTAAAAAATGAAAGTTATAACTTGTACATAAATGTATAATACAAATGCAATAGGTGTAATCAAACTTTTCGACCAGAGTACATTATACACAAATACTTTCTCACATGTATGTGAACCAATCATTTCTTCTCTTGTGTTCGTTTATACTCTCGATCATTCGAATGTCCCATAGGCACGCAAAAAATGAACAAAAAATAGGTGGTATACATATAAAGCGGAGAATTTAAAAGGGCGAGAATGATAGCGAGTTATAATGGCACAGCTTTGTATCGTCGAACTGCAAGTATGCCATCCGTTGTGTTCGAAAATCCGCTTTGAATCCTAAAATTCAAAAGAAAAAAAAAGAAAAAAAGGGAAAATATTTGTTACGCACGGTTTACTCTTCGTACCAAATTCTTTCCTAACTTGAAAACATTATATATTGTAGTTCTTTGTTGTGGTAAATTATAAAATACGTCCATACGTGTACGCACATACAGATATGTGCCAATAATTATGAGGTGTACTAAATAATAAAAATTAATAAAATTGATATTATGATATATTTGATAATATAAATAATTTTAATAGAAAATAAATCATATAATAAATATTTTTCCATTTAGTAACATAGTTGGCTAATAATAAAATAAATCAAAAATATAATATAAGTTTTTTTCCATAAATGACTTTAAAAAATAAATCACGAATTTTGCAGAAGTATAAATGATTTTTAATTGTTTCCAATCGAAAACAGATATTATAAATAAATCGATAAGATAATCGATGATATGAGAGTTTATAGAGAAGCATTAATCAATTGATTCATTGGCAATTAAGAAAAAAATCGTGTTTGCCCTTATTGGTAACAGCAAAATGATCGTTCAATCGTAAACAGAGTTTCTTCAAAGCTTTTTCCATTTCTTCATTGGTAACGCAATTCTTGCCAGACATAATTGACAAATTTTTCGCGTCCTCCAACGATTCATCGATAATTCCCTCAACTATGGTCGACAATACGGCTTGGGCTCTTTTCGATAAAATATAAGTTCCATCTAATCAGTTGTCAAAGAAAATAAAGGATTAGAAAACAAGAACAACAAAATTATGGTACTTCATTCAGTAAAATTCAAAATATTAATCAAATTATACAACATATTACAGTTCGACAAAAATGTACTGCATAAGCAAAAATATACGAGTATATCCGAAATTATATGTATAAAAATAAATTAGAAAGAAAAAAGAGTAATACATTATATCGTTTATGACATCAATTTCGAAACAATCGCATTTGTATAATTATTTTGTGAAACTTGTGTAAGTTAAACTATCTTTACTATTACTTATCAGATATAAACATTTTTTTATATATTATATCGCAACACTTTCGTTTTTATTGTTCCCTGTATGTTTACATTTTGTCTTCTATCATGCGACGTACGTTTAGTGTGTTTCTATAACTCGAGTTGTAAAGAAATGGTGAAAACATTTGAAATTTCTAATGAAGACGCAACAGTAGTTGTTAATTGCAATTATTCTACTAAACTAAATAATTATTTAGACAATATATTACAACTGTAGTACTTTTTTTCCCTATAACTGAATAATAATATCATTAATATATCTAACGATGCTAATGCTTCCTATAGAGTTTGATTATTATTAATATTTACAAATATTTCATTCGATCGAATATGGAGAAGATTTTATCTTTTATTTTTATCACTTTTTCCAATTTAAATTCAAATAGAATTTCAACGATCAATTTCTCCCTTCCTTTCTTCGATATTATTTTATATAATATTTGCAAATGTCGAAATTCTACTTTAAACCATGGCATATGATCGCGTTCTAAAGCACAACATTCACAAATCAAAATGCCCTTTCACGAGAGACGCCCTATTCAAAAGGTTCTTCTATTCATTACGGATCACAACGCTATTTCATTTCGATCTATCGATGAGGTTCTTTGTAATTTCTTTGAATGCAATTACTTCAATTTTTATTGGATATCCAATTAGATTCAGCCTTTCTTTTTCTACCCCTTTATTTCTCTTTCTTTTTTCTCTCTATCTTTAATATAATAAAATATAAAGTATTTTTGGACAGCTCTATTTGTAATGGTATAATAAATAAATAATATTAATAATTAACTCACATACTGATCTTAAGGATGAAAGAAAAAAAATAATGATTTTGTTCCAAAAATTGATATCCTAATTGAACAATAAAGTATACAGATTTATTAAATGTGTTCTCTCGTTGACTTTCGATCAGAAAACTAAGAAATTTGCAGTAACGACAAGTATCGAAGTATATATTAAATTTTTAGATATCTTATGAACCATTCTCTATGTGTATATATATAATATGTACTCTCATCACTTTTCCAGTAAGTTGACAAAATCGATGCAGTGAAGAAAAGATATATAAAAGTTTGGTAAAAAAAATGTAGACAGTGTTTCAAAGCAAAATTTCGAAGAAGGTTTCAATACGTAAAAATTTCTTTAGTTAAAGAAAAAAACATAAAGAAAGCAAAATAAAAAAAAAAAGAAATAAAAACTGCGAAAAACGCTTGATGAATTCTTTTCTTCTTATTTTATTTCGTATAATGAAAAAATAATTTTTTTTTTTCATTGGCAGTCTTCTACACGTAAATATCTTTGCTGAATTTTAAGAAATTTATTTTTAGTTCGAAATATGAAATGTGACGAGTACTATAATATTAAATAAAATTATACTATAATATTGAATTATTATTATTACTATTATAAATAACAGTACTATATTATTTAAATTATTCATTTAAATAGCAAAAATATAATGATTTTTCATAAAATTTATTTCATTTTCTATCCTTTTATAAACTTGTAAAATTCTGCGTGATTTAATTTCAATTGCCTATCCGTAGAAAAAAAAGATTTGAACGTGTCGATAACGTTACGACGTTAAAATTTCACATTTGTTGTAGATATTTGGTGATCTTTTATCAACCTAACACTTTTCTTGTAAAGTGCACCGAATAAATCGTCAGTTACAATATACTCCTGATGATCCCTTCACTTCCCTTAAGTACTTATCCTTCTCGTCAACCATCATCCCGTAGATTTTGGTCGTATATTAAATGACGTGAAAGAATACTCACTCAGAAAGAAAAAAAAATAGAATAGAAAAAATAAAAAAAATAAAATAAATCTAAATGGTATACGAAACTCTCAGTTCTTCCTATCTTTCCTTTAATTCCTGTAATATTTTAATTTGCATTTTTTTTTCTTTTATACACGACAAAAGCTATCCTTGTCCTCGTATATCAAATTTTTCTTTCCAGACATCTCGTTAAAAATTATTCGTTCTCTAAGTTAGTACTTTTAAATATTTAAAAAGTGTATGGCTTTTGTTAAATTTTTAATGAAAACGTTAAACAAGTGAAAATATTTCTAAAGAAAATTTCATTTCGTATTACTCAACATTTAATAGTTAATATTTTCCAAATAAATTTATGATTGTACTATACATTTTACAGAACGACGCTATTAATTGGCATATGTCAATTAATAAAATTTAGGTTAATAAAGATTGATTAATAAATATTTCTCACTTACCTACATTGTTTTTCGATTTAGACAAATTTTTCTTAACATCGTTGTAACGCTCGAGAACGATCTTTCGACGCATTTTAATTTTAACGAAATATTTCTTTGACTTTTGAACCGTTCAACATCTCGCACGAATAATTTCGACAGATCGTATAAAAACAGCCATGTGCCGGTTGCTATAATAAAAATAAATGAATGAAATAGTTTTCAATGTTATTCTGAAAAAGTTGCTATTGTGTGTTAAAAGTATGATTTATCTTTTTAATTGAATAATATAACGTTAAGCAACTCATAATGCAAACGTACAAATTTTTATTTGAACATTAATATGCCAACTTTGATAATAATTACTAGATTGTAATTAAAGTCTTCTCTCGTAAAATCTCTGCTCGGAAAATATAACATAAAAAAGATCTTCTAACAAGATTAAAATCATTCGCGAATCTGACTAGTCAGGATAGTTTTATATATTCATTCGAACTCTCTCAAGGATCGTTCAAAAATTCATGAACTCTCACAGAGAAACAAGTTTCTTACTTTCGCACGTTGGAAAAAAAGAATTATCCTTTTTTATCCTCGACAAAAACCCATCATAGAAAAGAATATTTGTTGATTGTTATCATGAGTATTCCACATTGAAGAAAAGAACTACAGCCTTAGATCTTACAAAGGATTAAAAACCATTGAACGCGATCTCAAAAGTGTTAAATTAAAAATTGCATTTAAATTTCTATTTGAAAAAACGATCCTAAAATGTAGGCCAAATGTATATATTATATGTAATTAAAAAATAAATTTCAAATTTAACGATAACTAATGATAAACCAAAAATAAATGGTCTGTGCAAAATCAGAGATAATCTAATAATAATAATTAATTTTAAAATATATAATAATCTTATTGTTAAATAGATAAAATTTGATGTTTTTCGTAGTTATGTAACTACAAAACAAGTAATACATTATCCTTTCTCTGTAAGATCCTTATACTATCTAGCTAGCTAGGCATGTTATTTCCGTTGCAAGCTAAAAGAGAAATTCGATGGGTCGAAATAGCCCGTTGTCCTAACGATGTGATTTATCGGACTGGACAACATAGTGTGTTTGCACGCGAGAAAGCTCCCAGCCACGACGTTTCCGTCGTTTTCGTCGTGCGAACGCCGCTTGACGTCCCCAGTCGGTTCTCGGATGGTGTTCACAAACGCACCACTGACTATCGACGAGGACCTCTCTCTTCTAGCGTCAAAACGACGATAAGCGGCTTATCGTTGAATCCGTCGGCGAGCAAAACCGTTCACTGAAAATCAACCATCGACTCGAGTAGAAAACTTTCCCGTCGACGGAATTTCTTCATATGTATACTATATATATATATATATACAATGACTCGCAAAAGTATTATTTAAACACTTGCCATCTCAAGTAATTTATTACTTACAATGAATATATTATACTACACTCTTACCGATCTAAAAACAATCAATTTCGATTCATCAGAAAATATTACCTTAACCTAAAAGTAATCATTTTTGCTAATAAATTCTATGCCGAATTTTAATCTTTTCTTTTTATTAATATCACTAATGTATGACTTCTTTCTTGTTTTTAGGACGGTGATGCCATACTATTTTTTCTTTTGCATTTTTCCCGAAACTACTTTATTTCAAGCTAGTGTGCAAGATATTTCAAGATTTACTTGATCGATTTTAAAATAAAAATATTTTTTAAACAGCAATCATTTCTACAACAAAATTTTTGTAAATTTAGAAAAAAAATCCACTATCTGCAAGGATTTTTTTTATTCTTTATTATTTCAAATTATTTTTAAAACAACTATGTGTTTGTGTAAAATAAAAATTATTTTATATATCTAACAGCTACTTCAAAAAGAACATTTATATTTATACCTGTTTTTCAGAATACTAAGGTGCTGTAATCCGTTAAAAGAAGTATTATATCAATCATAAATTATCATTTGACTAGAAACACCGGGATAATAAATAAAATTACCTTAGAAAAATTATTACACAACGAGATTTATTATCCATATATACAAACGTTTACATAAACTCACGAGGAGTTGATCAATGAAAACCAAAGACAAATGTGACACGAGTTAAACTTTAAGTATCCCATGTACCCTTTTTTAACCCTCTGTATTGACGCGATAATCGCTAAATGTGTCAAAAAAACGGAAAGTAAAGGGATTATAATATCAGGAATCTTAAACGACGAGAAATTTATTGTCTATTTACAAACGCCGTACTTTCTTCATGAAATGACCATTAGCTTTCATTTAACAATTATCCTAAGCTCTAAAAAGAAGGAAGAGAAAGGAGGGAAGGAAGGAAGAAAGGACGGAAGGAARGAAGGAGGAAAGAAGAAACAGGACATCGGGAAAGACACGATTAAACGGATAGGACAGGACAGTGAATCTTAGCGATATTTATTGTCTCTATGTACAAACGTCGTTTAAACGACGTATGGTACGAGAATTGAAATAGTCAAAATGGTTCTACCATCATACAAGCATGCGAACGTAGACTGATTCATTCGTTCATTCGTTCATTCTTTCAATTTCTCTCTCTCTCTCTCTTTTTTCTCTATTTTAAGTCAATCATCTATATACAGCTTTCCTGAACACGAAGGCTCCTCGTATAAATATCATGAGTACGATGAACCGGTAACGTGCTAGGTCGAGCTGGACTAAGACTCCTTTCGGATCCACCTCCTCTTTCAACGTAACCATTCGGGTAAATCCAGGAATCCTTCGCGTGTATAACCGACGATGATGGTGAAGAAAAATCGAGTTCCTCGAGGCATCCAAAGTCTTTCGTTCTATTCGCTCTACTTGGCGCATAGTTTGGCTCGAAAATGTCGGGTCGTTGCTCTAAGAGCTTGTTCGGTATCAAGTCTGGATCGTCGTCAGTTAAATCCATTGGCACGCCACTACTACGTTCCTTAAACTCATCTCTTATGTCCTTATTAATCGTATTCATCGTTGTAGCAGTAGCTGCACCGGACATATTATTAGTAGTAGTAGTAGTAGTAGTAGTTGTTGCTAACATTCGATTATCTTTACTGTCATATTGTACCACCTCTGTCAATGTTTTTATACCTTGCATCGGATGATTACGACGATGTAACGTCAAAGTTATTCCGACAATAAGGATGCAAACTGCAGTTATACCACCAGCAAAGCAAGCCACCAGTAGACTATAATCTGTTGTTTCTTCAGACGTTCCACGACCTTCGAAGAATCAAATCAATAATAAATTAAATTACATAGATATACTATTGAATATAAACGATTTCGTTATTAATATTGAGGGATTTATTAATATTTGTAAGAATTTAAGGAATGTTTATTTAAAATTGATTAAAGAAAGTTCGTTTTCGAATACTATATATTCATTTATTTTTTTTCTATCTCTCTCTCTCTCTCTCTCTCTCTCTCTCTCTCTCTCTCTCTCTCTCTCTCTCTCTCTCTTTGTTATGTCGTTTCTTATTCTTATTCTTCGTAATAAAAAGGATTTTCTTAAATTTACTCTAAAGTAAGAGAAATCGAAAAATCAAACTGGTGACTAATTTGTATCCACGGCAAGTCGGCGAGAAAAAAAACTGCAACGTAATCGAAGTAAAGTCTACCAGCTTAAAAATTGGCTCGTCTTCGAAAGAATCATTCTTCTTATCGAAAGGAAAGAAAAGAAAGGAAAGGGTGGAAAAGAAAAGAGAGAGTTCTCTCTTTCGTCCGAACGCTCGCCGATCTCGGACAGACGTGTCCGGTAAGCGGAATTCCCGTTTTCTCTCTGTTATTGGATCACGAAGAAAACGCAGGTAGATTCCGGAAGCGAAGATTAAGAGGAAACGGAGAACCGGTTCGCGGAGAACGATGACCTCTTTGGAATTCAGAAAACGCCGTGGCTTGTTAGCCTCTTCTAAAAGATCTCTACGTGTTTACTTACATCTTCATATATGTACCTACCTATGAAAAAAAAAAAAAAAATATATATATATATATATATGTTAGCTTATACATACTCTGTGTCGTCCTTCGAGAGGATTCTTTTCGAAAATACGAAAAAAAATCAAAATAACTTCTTCGAATATTAAATATATTTATTTAAGATAGTTTTGTTTGCCGTTCGTACAAATTGTTCTATAAAAATTTCTCTCTAAAAAATCTCTTCGTATAATAAAAATTAAATAATCCTTCCCTGCTAACAAATGTAACAAGTAATCTAGATTTATTATACAAAAAAGAAATAAATTCCTCAATTTTTGCTAATGTAATCATTTAAAATCGTTTTATTTGACTTTTCCAAAAAAATTGTCTCTTCTGTTTGTTCATATAAAAAATTAGATAATAAATACATATTCTAAAGATATCAAACAATATCATCATTTGATATCATTTTACTTCGTATGGCTTAGGTAAACGTATTACTCTATCGACTAGTCTTATAATTTGCTGATAAAAAAAACAAATAACAAAATAAATAAACCACAAATTGCACGGTGTGTAATAAGCAACAATTCAATCGACAAACCGCAAAACGACGAACAGGAAGAGGCAAGAACGTAAACGCTAATGCTTTCGAAAGAAGAACTCGTCACACACACGCACGCCGTATACTATACCTTTTCATAGAACGGAATCGTACCGCGTAACCGGTATGAATTACGCATGAGGATGGAAATTAAAGACGATAAATGCGGCTGAGAATGAGAGGAGAGCTACTCGGCTCGTTTATGCGATTTTAATTCAGCTCGTACGATGGATGCTGCCGAAGGAGGAGGGAGGCTGGACATGGAAAGAGAAAAAAAAAAGAAGAAGAAGAAGAAATGCTTTTTTCCTCTCTTTTTTCCCCGTTTGTTCCCCCCTATTACTATATAGTTCGCTATGAGAAATAGAAAGAAGAATAGAAAAAGTAACGAAAGTAAACAAGAACGTTGGAAGGCATGCAATAATATTCTCGATCCTGTTGCTGAGAAAATTCTCGAGCTACATGAACAACTTCGTAGTATTCTTTTCATTTTTCTTGTTTTTTCCTTTTTTCATATTTTTTTTTTTTTTTTGCTTCCTCTTTTTTCTTTCCTACCAGCTATAATAATATGCTTATTATTTCGTATTTTAAAACCGATTCGTTAACGTTCGCCGTTTACGATTAAATATTTTTTTTCTCGATTAGGTGTTCGAATGGAAATTATTATTTTTTCTTTTTATATTTTTACTGATACCTCGCATTTATCGAAACTCAAGTAACTTGATTGTCGGGCATGATCGTAGTTAAGATATCAAAAATAACATTTATGCAATCTAATTGTGAATTTATGTTAATATTGGAATATAGTACTTGAAAATAGATAACACTTCATGCTTCGTCGATAACGTTGCGAGCCGTCGACTTTTCACGATTCTGGCAATAAATAACTGTTCATACATATATGTAATAAGGGCCAACCTCTCAACAGGGGTTCAGAAAAATTATACAAGTTATTTGCAATCTCAATTATCTAGAAAGAACACTGCTGTGTCCATCTTTCTACGCGAAATATAAGAGAAAATATTATATCAGAGAAGAAGTGATTAATAACGATCTTAAAACATGAAATATATAAAAAAGATTGATCATATTATGTTGATTTCTTATGGAAAATTATTGTAGCTTGATTCTGAGGTTTTATAACCGATTTGTTTTAAATATTCAATATCTCCATTCATTTTATGTCTTTCCAAGCCATTAGAAAGAATAAATTATTTGAAGGGTCCAATCTTTCCATCCAAAATAAAAGAAATTAAATACTATAAGAGAAAATCAGTGATTAACGACGACATGACATATATATATAATAATATAAATTGATAATAATTTTTCATAAGAAGTTATAGAAATGCGATCAATATTATATATATAACATTGATCGCATTTCTATAACTTCTTATGAAAAATATATATATGTTATGTCGTCGTATATATAATATATATAAAATATTGATCGCATTTCTATAACTTCTTATGAAAAATTATTATCAATTTATCATATCGATTGATCGGAAATGAAAATTTGTTAATTACAGTTTGTTTTTTAGGCATAATACCTTACGATTCTTGTATATTTTCAATTGTCATTCGTTTTATGTTTTTCTAATCTATCAGGAAGGATAAATTATTGAAAAGGGGTAAGAGAAGGTTTGAAATAATTGATGAAAAAAGGGGGGTTAAAAGTTTAATTTTCTTTCTCACCTGTAGTATACATTGCGACTCCTTTGAGCGTGACTGGTTCAAGGACGACAGGATCGCTTCTACCCTTAGCATTAACTGCGTAAAGGTGTAACCTATAATTGCATCCTGGTTCCAAGCCTGATACCTCAAAAACCGGGCCAGTTGATCTATCCGTGTGATTCAGGTAAATGGTATTTACAAGATAAACATTATCCTCACTGTAAACCTCTAACTCGTAATTAGTCAACGGTAGACCACCGTCGAATCCCTCGGAGCATCTGACGATCAACCAATCTGCGTCCCTCGAGTCGGTAGCTTTAAAATCTTCGTGTCCTGTTTTACATAGACGCGTGCTTATCTACACGAACGATTCTCATGAGACAACGAAAACTCTTGCAATTTAATCACGGCAAAAACCAAATAGACTAATTTACGTTAACGAACTCAACTTTAAAGCAATGAGATGATAATTATAACTTTGATTATTCTGGATTAGTCGGTATCTAAATATTTATAACAAAATGGACTTCGCCATATATCATCCATATTCGTGATTATTTCATACTTTTTACCAAATGACGAAATACGAAACACATCTCTTCTCTTAAAAAAAAAATCTCTCTTGCTTTTTTCGTCCATCCCCTTTTTTTTACGATGTAAAATTTTAAAATTTCGATAAAATGTCCAAATGGAACGTTGAAGAAATCMAGCCCGACGATATCGTCGTCGTCGTTTCTTTTTTTGTTCTTCTTGGATACTTTTTAAACTCTCGAAAAGACATGTTTCTATCATTCACCGTCGTTCAATGGAAAGGTGTAAATCGACGTTAACGACTTTTATCTCTTTTCCCATTTCTTTTCTTTTCTTTCTTTTTCTTTTCTTTTTCTCTCTTGTCCCTTTGTAAAATCTCAAAGATATAATACTATCGAAAATAAAAGAAAAGAAAAAAAAGAATTTATCCCTATAGTTTCTGGATGCGCATTCGTCAAAACTATTAAAAAGTATTTATCCTTCGGGAATAAAGAAACAAGGAAGGGGAAGATCGCGAGGTGGTCGAAGTTACGAAACCGGTAGCACCTGACCTACATTGCAAAATGCTGTGCCGTCAAAATCCGAACACTTGTTTCTCAGCACTTAGCTGCTCCCCTTCCCAAGCAAAAGCGGCAACTCTTTCATCCGACAACGGCAGCATACACAACACTGCCTGCTGACTTTACGGAAAAAAACGTCAGTGACGTGCGACCGTTTCTTTCGACGTGACGTAGCACCGAGAGAAATACAGAATAGTACATAGAAAAGAGAAAGAGAAAGAAAAAAGACATTTTTTCGGTCGACTGTTTGCGTTTTTCACCGGCGAAACTACCCTATCGTCTTTAATAAACGCCCTAAGAGACAAATTCCAAGAGAATTCACTCGCGCGATACCCCCGTTCCCCTTTTTTTGTTCTGCCCTTTTTTTCTCTTTTTTTTCTTTTTTATACTAAACACTTTTAGAGGTATTACCTACTTTTCGAATAAACTCAGAAAAATTAGTACGAATTTTTGTTCGAGATTAAAAGAACAGTTAGTTAAGTACCCCATTTCATTTACAATTTACTTGTCCAATTCGTATTCATAAATGGTATCGTAGGTGAATAGAAAATTATAGAAAAGATAAGATAATTAACTTATTAACCATGAATGTTTAAATTATATCTACTGATAAATAGGAAAAGAAAGTAAAATCGAGTATTCCTAACCACTAGCATGTGTAAAAAAGAATATCGAGTTATGTAAAATTGGCTCGGTAGCCAAAGCGATAGAAAGATAGGATAGTACAGTTCGCTTACCCATTCGATAAGAGAAGGGTCCGGTCGATTGTACAGCTGTACAATTCTGCAATGGGTATGGCTTCCCAGCTACAATGATCTGAAAAAGACAGGGCGTTTTCTGCAGTCCTATACGATTTCGCGCCCAGCAAGCTATCGTCCCATAGTCCATGTCGTTAGACGGCGTGTAATTCATTCTGGAACCATGCCAATGGTTCGTGACGAGGCTCAACGGTTTGACCTGCGTAAATCGATTCGGCGGCATATTCATCAGCTCGCCAGAATTGTTGAACGTCCAGTGAAAAGTCGTAGGAGGTGGTTTCGATTGTACACCGCAAACCAGAAATATCGTCTCATGCTTCAACGCTCCTACTACTTGCGTTGATGAACCTTCTTTGCAAATCGGGGCATCTGAAATATGAAATAATCGTTCCCTGTTTTTTTTTTTTCATTTTAATTAAATTATTAATAGTAATGTCTGGAAAAAGGGTCTATGTTACATACTTCATACTTCACAAGAGAATCAGAAAAAGATTCGACGAGTGAAATCGTTGCTGATGCAACATATGCCCTTCTTCCATAAAACACAAATTTCATATCAAGTAAATCCATAATGTATCATGGTAGAACACAACACGTATGACGTTTCTCCAACAGCAAAACAAATTTCGATAAGAATGTATTATAATAATATAAGGGTGTTTCTTCTAAATATTCATTTAAATGTATATTTATCCTCCAACTGTAACGTAATAATCTCAAAATTAATTTTTCCATTATTCATAATTTGACTTACACATTATTTCTAAAGTAACCGGTCTGCTGGTAGATTTTCCTTCAAGATTAGTAGCCATACACGAGTACTCGCCAGCTGAACTTCTAGTAACACTCTGCAAAACCAAAGAATTACCACCGGGAAGTATGATCCCTGCTACCGCGTTCTGATGTAATTCCTTGCCGTCCTTGAACCAGGCCAACTTGTAAGCTTTTGGATTGGCCCGGACATCGCATTCGAAGTAGACGTCGTCACCCTCGTTTATATCGTTCGCCCGCAAACTCGAGCCCAATTTGATCGTGACCACCGGAGCGTCTGTAAGCCGCAAACACGATAAATCGATCGCACTAGTATACTCCAAGTATCCCACAAATATTTTCTCGTCACGTGAAACAATATCTTATGCGTCATTCGATTTACTTCTGTACACGTTTAAATCATTTTTTACTAGTGAAAACGTTTACTTTTTCATAAATTTTTTTTTTCGTTCAATTAAAAAACTTCAACGACTAATAACAAATTAAAATGTTAATCTACTTATAAACAGACTCGAATCAAAGTGACGTACAAAATAATATCGAAAATTTAATATTAATGATAATAATAATAATATAAATTAATAGCTACATTAGGGTGGGTCAAAAAATCAATTATTTTTTTTTTAAAGTGCCACGGAGAAATGAGTTGCTAGACACCTTAAACAAATTCTCACCAAATATGAACTCTTAATTGTAATAGGAAGATCTTCCGCATCGCATTTTTCTATTTTTTTCTCAGTCCAATAGAATAAAATTCATACCTCATCATTAATTGATTGTACAGAAAAATGTTCTGGAAGCATTTTGTAGGAAATTTAATGCTGTACAAAAAAGGTATCTTATATTTTTTCCGTAAACCTCACCATTTGAATGATATTGAAGATTTAAGTTTGATTATTTTAAGACAAATTTCATTTTTGTTTGTGAATTTTATAACTCGACAATAAATGACTATTATAAAATGCGCAATACAAATTTTTGTAGGAAATTAACTGTTCTATAAAAATGATGTCTTATGTTTTGGCGATTAAATTAAGCGTTTAAAAGATATTCAGAGACACAAATCAGTACACATGAAAGTTTGATGATGAGGTATAAATTTTATTTTATTGGACTGAGAAAAAAATAAAAATCTGCGATGCGGAGGATCTTCCTATTAAAATTAAGAGCTCATATTTGGTGAGAATTTTTTTAAGATGTCTAGCAACCCATTTTTCCGTGGCACTTGTAAAAAAAAAAATAATTGATTTTTTTGACCCACCCTAAGCTACATAGTAATATTTCTTACGGTAAACGATTTTAAGAATAATTCATTTAATGATTAATATATTTCTAAGGAGCTGCACGTTCAAAGTTCCCTAAAAATCACTTACAATGAACGAGCAATCGCCATCTATCTTCCAAGGCACTGTCAGGTACAACCGGATTTTCAGCACGACAAGTCAAATACTTTCCATCGTCCTCGATGGTAGGGACATAACTCAAAACACTTCTTGTTATGTTCGGACTATCTGCAAACTATGAAGAACTCAGTATCTAAGCTCGTATAAAATTAAACGAAATTGTCCATATAAACATTTGATATTTTGTTTTACGAACTTTAATAGCAATTCCACTCACATTTCTAGCCATATGTTTCACTTGATGAGTACCTTTCCACCAAGTCATGATGGCTTCGGGTCTCGAACCAGAACTAGCACATTCTATTTCGTACGTTCTTAATGCGGATATGTGATTTAATTTATTCGTTATATTCACGAATAACGGTTTAACTAAAATTAAAATATTAAAAAAAATATATATATATATATATATATATATATATATATCGGATTATTTTTCAAAACGATATTACTTATGTTAGCTTGCAATAATAATATGTATATCGTACATGTCAGCCATTATAATATAGCAAGTTAGAAAATACTCTTAATTACACAATGAAGTATTGGAAAACTCACGATTAATGTCGAGAATAATTTCGGACGTTAACGGAGACATGAGTTGAGTATTGCTAGCCCTGCAAATCAGTCTAGCTCTTAGAAAATCTCTTGTAACTCGAGACACATCCAAACGATTTATGGTAACATCACCATGCTCTAACGTGTACGTATCGTCGAACAATTTTCCTTCAAAATACCAACAGACTCTTGGCGGTGGTGAACCTCCGATCACTTCGCACAACAACGACATCTCGTTACCCTCGTTGAAGGGTTGCAATATCTTGGCCATAACTTTATTCGAACCCGTGTAGATCACTGGTTTCGAGGGTGGCACTGCCGTTCGATAAAAATTCACAATTAATCCTTTAATCAGGTTCGTCAAACTATTTCGTATCTTATATTATCATGAACCTAGTAATAATTATAGTAATAACGAATTACTGGGTCACTTTAGTAATGCTTTGGAATTTATAGGTATATAATAAAAATAAATCAACGAAATTCGAAAGTTTCGAATAAGGAAGGGGAGGGGGGGGGGTAAAACGAGGAAAAATCTCAACTATACAAAAGAAGTAAAAATTTTTTAAAAATGATTTCAATCATAATCAATTTGGTCAGGTAAAATATTTTAATAAAATTAAAAAAGTAAAGTTAGTCATCTATGTTTGACTGATCCAATAGAGAAAAATAAAAATGCGGTTAGCCGCAGATGAGGTCAACACCTGTTGAACAATTACTGTGTTAAATTAATTAATTCGAAATCGCGTTGGCCTTAGCCAACCGAAAGCTAGTCAAACTCGTTACACGATGACCCATCTTCGTTCTCTTTTATACTTCATTAGTGAGATCCATCCGACTTAGCAACTTTCCTTTTTCCAGTTAAAGAAGCTACTACTGCTACTACTTCTACTTCTTTCTTTTTCTTCTTCTTCTACTTCTACTTCTTTCTTTTTCTTCTTCTTCTTCTACTTCTACTTCTACTTCTACTTCTTCTTCTTCTTCTTCTTCTTCTTCTTCTTCTTCTTCTTCTTCTTCTTCTTCTTCTTNTCTTCTTCTTCTTCTTCTTCTTCTTCTTCTTCTTCTTCTTCTTCTTCTTCTTCTTCTTCTTCTTCTTCTTCTTCTTCTTCTTCTTCTTCTTCTTCTTATTCTTGTTCTTGTTCTTCTTCTTCTAAACTTTCCTACGCTTTTAGGAAATATTGGAAATTTCGCGAGCTTTTCGAATTCTTGGTTAATGAGTTCGTAATTATCTTAAAGAATGACAAAACATTTGACCTACATTGTTCAAAAAAGAATAATGAAAGAAAAATGGAAGGGAAGCGAAGGGAAGAGAAATGATACGGACAGGATAGATTAAGCTCACCTATAACGGTTAGGTTGATCTTCTGATTCTTCGTTGGACTATCTTTAAAGTCCACTCTACATATATATACTCCAGCATCGTCCGAATGCAATGGATCGATCTCTAATTCAGCTGGCTTCACATTCGTCCTCATAGTCGCTCTTTCCCCAAATACATATGGATCGGACCAAAGCTTTGCTTGACCTACGGCTCTACCGCGGGCATCCACACTGTATATTGGCTCGCCTTCCTTCCCGTCTTTGTACCAAAAGACCATGATAACCATCTCGTCTTTCGTCGGTGGCTCGATATCGCAAGGTATTTGCGCTTTGAAACCAGACACAGCCGTTATGTCTAATACGGGAACTGCAAAATCGAATGCCTTGTGACTTTTCTACTTTCTTCTTTAAGTCGTTATTCTCCAATAATTTACACACACACACATTTATTAGATTTATTTATATAGAAATTACGCTATCTATTTACTTCATTTTTAACTATTACGTAATTGTACCTTTTTCCTCTCTCTCTTTCTACTAATTTCAAATAAATTTTAATTGTAACATTTGAAGCAATCAATTTTAATCTAAACATCTAATCACTATTATTTAATGAACATTTAAAATATTTCCTCGTTAGAAAAAACATAAAATAATAATCTTACAGTTTTTGTAATTTGTGTTTATTTTTCTTTTTTCATTTTGTTTTTCAAAAAAGAATATACATCGATCGGTGAAATAAATGACAAAGACATTAACGATTTCTCTTAGAGTATTTAATTGGACTATCTCTCTTTCGAGTTGGTGGTACGATTAAATTCGCTAAGAGAAGTAAAGAATCACGAGGTAAAGACTGCTGCTAGAGTAATAGTGTTTTAAAAACAAGTCACGTAGCCGAGTTACTTCGTTAGATTCAGACCAAAGCGAAGACACACGGAACCAATATCTATCTCTCTTTGGTCGTCCGCGCAACGTTCGCAAAGACGCAGTAGATTTTCTTGCCACAACCGCAAATTTCGAGTTTTAGTCGATTTCCTCTGACGCGAGTCGTACGACTTAACTGCAAATTGTTAGAAGTCCAATGAACTTCTCTGTATTCAAGGTATAAACTGCCTTTGTATGTCGAGGTTACAATAGAAACGTGTTCTATTAATGGACAAAAGAATACAACAAAATTGGAAAAACAAAAACAAATTTAACGCAATGTCCCTTCGGGGAACATATACGTACAAAAGAATATAATCAAAATTTGTCTACTTCTTTATTAATATGATAAATTTGTAACTGTCCTTTGATAAACAATTAAATTAAGATTTTACCAGAATACGTAAACTTGTTGAAAAAAAAGGAAAATGAAAATATGTCGATCGAAAAGACAAGTACAAATATTTAGCTGATTAATAGACTACGTTTAGAACTTTCCTAATCAATTAAATAACCCTATACCAATATCTACAGGTATGGTAATATAATATATATATATACATTAACATTCCATCTCAGAATGGATCGAACTTTTTATCTGCACAACATACGAAGGTTATTTCCTCTCGCTAAAGATGGCTATCATCTGTTGGTATTTTACGAGCAACGTAACAACATTTACTGAACTATACTCTATAGCAATATTAATAATACCGATATAATTCATGTTACTGAGAAAAAACACGCATTTCACGACAGTCGTTAACTATTCGACTACGAGCTTGTGACTTCAATTTCCCTTCTCCTATCTACCACCCATTTTTAATCGTTCTTATGTCTTTCCTCGTCATTTCTTGTTTTTATTATCTAATTTTAACAATAATTTCACTCATTTTTATATCAAATAAAAGAAACTTATGCGTTTTTTTATTAACATTTTTTTCACAGTATCACATAATTTCTTCGTTTATTTTTCTTCATATTTTCATATTTTTATATTCTAAATCAATTTAAACTAGCAAATATAATAATAACGGATTTGTTAACACTGTCTGTAATTCAGATCTATGATCACTTTGTACTTGCTTACACATACACAGAGACACGAATGCATACACACAGACATTATCTTCTCTCGTGTTTCTATATGCGTATAATCATCGTTCATGTCGTCAGATATAATCGCTTGTTAGCGTTCCAAGTATACTATATATTAGGCGAATCCATAATCCGAATTCACGAATGAAACTCGTTGCAACTAGTTGTACGTATATATAAATATTAAAATATTTAATACATAAACGCGTGGATAAGCATCCATTTTATCGTCAATTTCATTCCCTTTAGACGATCGAAAATATTATAACAACGAACTAACGTGCTTGCGAACTCATTTGCAAATAACAAATATAACGAGTAACGAATATGCGAGTAAAACTCCAAAACAAATCAATTAATAAACTATTATCAAAATAAATGATGAAAATAAAAAGTAATAGAACGATATACGTAAAAAAGTAATAATTATTATAGTTACATCGTATTGTATATTTCAAACTTTGATTGAAATAAAAAATAAAAAAAAAAAACAAGAGAACAAATAATCATTTTCATTAATAAATTAATGAAACATATAACAAAAGAACGTTTGAGTATTTTTATCGATCGTTAACATTAAAAGAAAAAGAAGAAGTTATAAACAAAATGGATGGAAATGGAAAGAAAAAAAATATTAAACAAGAAAAAGAAACACGAAGATCCTTATAATAAATGTGAAGAATTAAAGAACCTCTTACATCGAAGCTCACACGATCTATATTATATTAATTCTATGTTGAATCATCGTAAGAAGAACGTTAACGAGAGTCGAACGAATTTCTGCCAATTATCATCCATCCATAAATTATCACCGTTGACATGCAAGGAGTATAGTCATTAGTGATCAAACATTACAAGCAAGAAAATTCGTTCTACGAATAGTTGTTGAACGATTAAACGTGCAGGAAAAAAAAATCTATAAGAGTACCATCAACTTTATCTTACGAATACTTGAACAGAAAAGACAAGTTATTTCCGTGAATAACATTGTTATCGTGATAGTTTAGACAGGACTATCAATTTTCCACCTATACATAAAAGCATATTATAATGAAACATTAATTGCTTTTAAAGTCAATAAATACTTACTTGTTTGGTACACTTTTGTCGCAATATTTTTTTCTTCAAATTTCTTATCGATTTTAACGAAAAAATTGCTATTATATTATTTATAATAAATTGAAAAGAAAATAAGAGAAAAATAATCTGTTGATCTTAGAAACTAATTTATGTTACATCATTTACCGAACTCCTCGGTCTAATAATCCCATCAGCTTTCCACAAATCTAACGTTTACTTATGCCTTCATTTACGTTGATCACTCTCTAGTAGCAATCAACTTGTGTTGAAGGTTCGCAAGTCATATAGAGTTGCTATCCAAACTTATGAGAAACGAACGAACGAGCTTTTTTATTTTTTTCCTAAACTTAAATGTTTTTTATCTAAACCAGAAGCTCAAGAGATTAATGTTTCGGTAAATCTTTTTTGACTTATTTTATAAGATATCAAGAATTCTTGTTTAAAAATTTCCCCTTTTCGTTGTTTATTCTTTTTTTTTTACTTTTGTATTTCTCCTTTCCTTCTCTCTTATTTCTTTTTATCATTATTATTATTATTTTTTTTTCTACCCAACGCTTGCAGGGAAATTTTTCTATAACATCTTTTAAGTATAATTTCTTTTAATATTTTTATTTATTTATTAATATTCTATGAAGTAATTTTAATCTACGTTTATAAATTTTTCTTTAAATTAAATCCCATTTAGTCTTCTCGTTAAGAAAGTTTGAAAAGAAAAAAAGAAAAGAAAAGAAAACGTAATATTATAAATAAGAAAAATAAATCTGGAAAAACTCTTTGATAAATGTTAGTTTATATAAATAACGCGGTCACGTTGCAATACCAAATTTTCTGTTTAATGTTTTTCATGCGTTGTACCTTGAGTTTCTTTCAGTGCGTCTTACAATTGAATTTTATAGTACATCAAGCAAAGGGTTATGCGTCTTTTCTCTTGTTAGAGAAGTTTCTCACAACTACTGTTTATATAAATTACACGACAATGTTTCCCTTTTGCATCTTTCTAAGTAATTCGCGTTTTCATTATAATAGAAATTCTACGTGTTTCGTACAAAAGTATAAAACGTTTAAAAAATAATCAAAGCGAAAATAACATAAATATTTATATAATTAAAAAATATATTTCAAAATACATTTTTCTTTTCTATATTATTTCCATTAAAAACTTCCGTGTTGTTCTACAAAAATATAATATATACATATATCACTTTTACGGATAAACAAGAAAAAATGTATATTTCTTTAACAAAAATATGAATAAAATAGTTAAATCGATTTAATATTTAACTAAAAGAAAAAAATATTATGTTAAAAAAAAATATATATATATATAGAAATTTTTTATATTAGCATTGATAAAGTTTCGAATATATATAAAATTACGACAAGAAACGATAAAACGTCCTGGATGATCCTACCAAACGACGAAGTATATATACATACGTATTCTCCCATGTAAACGTCCGAATATTATCTTTGGACGTATCTAGTATCGTGAAGTGCTGCTTCAACTAGTATCTAGTATCGTGAAGTGCTCCAGCGACGATATAGTGTATACATTGGAAACAAACCGAAGCACCGACAGTTAGATAAATAGATGGGTAGATAGAACGTAGAACCGAATACTAGAAGCTTAGATCGAGACATTAGAAGCGACGTTCCTAGAAACACGCAGCCATATACATAATATCGAAAGTACATATGCGTAAGCACTCATTTACGTATATACATACAGACTAAATAATTTCCTCTCTCCTAATTTCATAATTAATCTCAAATCGATATCTCCGATAATCCATTAATATGCACGACTTATCATTCTCTAATTCTCTTAAAAGAACATCGAGTATTTAAAATAATATCAAATGCATTTGGAAAATTATTATTCGATCGAACTAATAATTTAAAAGTACCTACACGTATCTTTATCATGAATTAAAAAGAAAATCTTTTATTATGTTTTTTTCATATTGAATTCGAGAATAAAGGTTATTCGTATTTTAATGCATAAGTGAGAAACAAATTTTTCCTTATTTTTTTAAATTTTATATGAAATTTATCGAACCAAATCTCTCTCTGTGCCATTTCTCATTCGACGACCTTTTGCAATTTGTTCCGATCAAATTTTTCCACGATTTCATCAACTTTTCCATTAATTAGACAACCAAAGCGAGACACATCTGTGACAGGAAAATTTCTTGATTGATAACGTTGAAACAGCTTTGTGTCACCCGTCCTGTCACTGCATCATGTCCATAAATATCACACATT